CCGCTGCGCTCATTCCATGGCCGGGAGAAGAGCGCTTCAAACAAAACGCCCGGCCCGCCAGGCCACGCTGGGAAACGTAGTTCGCGCACCCTGCGCGGGCGCAGAGCCCAAGGGCGAGGGGACTACGGATCCCGGCAGCCCCCGCGCCGGGGACGGAGGGGGAGAGGCCGGGTGCAGGGATGGAGGGACGGGTGGGCGAGCGAGTGAGTGAGTGGCAGCCGCCAAGCCTTGGCCGAGAGCCAGGAAGGGCCTCCCCGGAGGAGGAGGAGGGAGGCGCAGAGCGGGAGGGAGGGAGGGAACCCCAGGGGCCATCTAGTGACGGCGCCCCAATCGAAAATTTGACTTTTTAAAAAAAAAAATCTTTCAATTTTTTATTTTTTCCCGCGGCACACCAGGCAACATCTCGCGGCACACTAGTGTGCTGCGGAACAGTGGTTGGGAAACACTGGACTAAGGCCTTCGACACTGTAAATTGTAATGCCCTGTGGACTGTCCTTCTGAAAATTGGCTGCCCAGATAAATTTGTTAACATCCTTTGGCTCCTCCATGATAATATGACAACAACAATCGCAGATAACAATGGCTCTCACAGCGAACTGCTCACAGTGGGATCAGGTGTCAAACAGGGATGTGCTATCGCCCCAACTCTATTATTTATACACATTGCCGAAGGGAAACTCCCCACCGGGGTAGAAATCGTGTATCGAACAGATGGAAAGCTCTTTAACTTGAATAGGCTGAAAACAAAGAGTAAGGTTACCATAACTTTTGTCATAGAGCTTCAATATGCTGATGACAACGTTGTGTCCAATGACCTCCAAACCATCCTAAAAAGCTTTGCAGCTTGCTCAACATCCCAAAAACCAAAGTGCTGCACCAGCAAGCACAAAACAAGCCCTCTGCAGTGCCACAGATCCAACTTAATGGTGCAACACTGGAAAATGTCAATAATTTTTCCTACCTGGGCAGTTAGCTTTACACAAGAGCCAATAGTGATACTGAAATACAGCATCGCCTGAGCTCTGTGAGTGCAGCTTTCTCCCGATTGAAGTGCAGAGTGATTGAGGACAGACATTCACAGGGAAACCAAAATTCTTGTTTACAAAACTATTGTACTACCAAACTTACTATATACTTGTGAAACATGGACCACTTATAAACACCATCTCCAACTCCTCAAAAGATTCCATCAACAGTGTCTCCAAAAAATTTTATATATCACCTAGGAAGACAAGCGAACTAATGTCAGTGTAATGGAAGAAGCAAAGATCAGTGTCAAAGCAATGATTCTTCAACATCAACTTCATTGGACTGGTCATGTTGTTCGGATGCCTGATTATCGTCTTCCAAAGCAACTACTCTATTCCAAACTTTAAAATGGAAAGTGTACTGTTGGTGGTCAACAAAAGAGGTTTAAAGACTCTCTCAAGGCAAATCTAAAAAAAAGTAGTATAAACATTGACAATTGGGAAACACTGGCTTCTGAGCACTCCAATTGGAGAACAGCCTTTACCAAAGGTATTGTGGACTTTGAAAACACTCAATCTCAGGGCGCAAGGGAGAAACAAGCTAAGAGGAAAGCATGGAAACCTATGTCCCCACTGTGGAAGGACGTGTGGATCCAGAATTGGCCTCCACAGTCTCTTTCAGACTCACTGTTAAGACTGTGTTCATTGAAGACAATCTTACTCGGCTACAAGTGATCGCCAAAGAAGAAGACTCATCTTGCACTAAAAGTTCTTCTCTGCAGAATTTTATCTCTGGACCAAGTGGTTTTTTGTGTGTGCAGTTTGTATGAATGTAAAGTCATAAACCTAAAACCATTTTTTGCATCCTGACAGTTTACATGACACATTTTAAAAATATTTCCTGGCAGAAGGAAATTTTAGGGGGATTTTTGGCCCAAAGGCAATTCACTATTCACTACCTAAATCCAATGATAAACAATAGTTCCCTGACAGTGAAACAAAATTATACATGAATGGGTGTCACCCGATAGTCTAATATAGATTAGTCAAGATAATAATCTCCTCTGGGCATTAATTAGTCCAGATCCAGAGATGCTGGATTCTGCTGAAACAGTTGCTGAGGCTAAGCAAGAGCAAAATAACACTTCACTAGCAAGACAACTTCCATAATTTTGAATCGTTGTAAGCTGCCCTGGGGCCTGCTAGGGAAGAGTGCATGATAAATTTAATCATAATCATAATCAAAACATCTTGAAGCAGCAATCTCACACTAATTCCAATCTATCATTAGTAGTGTAATATCCCGTCGCCATGTAATTTGCAGTCATATGAAGAATCATGATTGATAAGTGCTCATGTTATGCAGGAGGAAGATCTACTATAATAAGGATTGTTTATAAAAAGAAAATATTAAAATAGTAGGGCAATGTAGTGGAAGATGTCAGTGTAGGATCCTGAAGCCTAGAGTTTGCTGCCAATTAGAGTCAACATATTTTATTTTATTCCATTTGGAAGGGGAAAACAGGTTTCCAGGTAATGGCATGGTCAGTATCTTTAATGCAGCAATAAATAAATAAATAAATGCTAACATGTAGTTTTCCTCTCTCTAGAATGGAGTAGTTCACCTTAGAAGTTCCTGAAGTATAGTGACTGTTTATTACCCATTAACAAAAGTAGAGAATTAGGCTGATTCTCCAGTTATGGCCACTCCTTGATCAGGACAACCTGTTGCTTGTGCTCTGGTGACCTCCCATCTGGATTACTGTAATGTGCTGTATGTGGGGCTGCCCTTGAACATGGTCCAGAGGCTGCAACTAGTGCAGAATGCAGCTACTAAACTGGCAAGTGGGGCAGTTTGATTGGACTACATGCAATTGGTCCTCAAAATGCTGCATTGGCTGCTAATGAACTACTGGGCTCAATTCAAGGTGTTAGTACTAGCATGTGAAGTCCTAAATGGCTTGGGACCCAAAAGAGCTCCTTCATAATATCAACCATCTCAGACACTGCAGTCAGCAGGTGAGGGTTTGTTGGCCATGCTTAGTTGCACTGACCCATGACAGGGCATTTTCAGTGACACTTCCCCATTTGTGAATGCCCTCCCTTAGTGAGGGTCTGTCTCATTACTGACTTTCAGGAGGAATTTAAAAACATTCCTGTTTACCCAAACCTTTGGTGGCTGGAAGATACTGTTCCTGGCAACTTTGAAATCACTGGTTGAGACAATGTTTTTAACTGTCTTTAGAGTTTTTAAAACTGTTTTTAGAATGCTTTATTTTATTCTTAAATTATTGATATGTCTGCCACCCTGGTCTCCTCCAGGAGGAAGGGCAGGATACAAATTGGATAAACAAATAAGAAGAGCAGTGCTTGATTAGAACAAAGTTCTACCTAGTCTAGCATCCTTTTCCCCCCAAAGAGGTTAACTATGTGTCCAGAAAACACCATCAGGATTTGAGGCCAACAGCTGTCAATGTGCTGCTGTCACCCAGCAACTGATATTCTGTGACATGCTTCCTCTGAACATTTAGCTATCATGATATACCTACTCTTCTTGAATTTTTTATTTCCCCTTTCAAGTAATATATTTTTGTGCTTGAAACAGAGAGGGATTATGTCATATACAGGAATATCCTGGATTGTTGTGATTTCTCTCTGCTAGTAAGGCAGTTACAAGTGAAACTCAAGGGTTAGTTTCTAGGTAAATATAACTCAGTGGTAGACCCACATTCTTTATCCAGAAATCCTAGGTTCATGCTTTGGTGTTTCTAGTTAAAAGGAATTCAGATAGTAGGATTAGGGAAAATGTGTACATGAGGCCTTGAGAGAGCCATGTCTGGTCAGAGTAGATAGTGCTGGATTAGAGGATCCAAATAGCTCATGTTTCATAGTTACTAATTTGCCTAGAAGAGCCAGATCATTTGAGATTAATTATTCTGTTTAGAAGCACAAGTGCCTCCCCACAAAAAAACTTGTCACCTCTCTATTGGGAACCTACAGTGCTTCTCTGGGATCTATCACCCAAGACAATTCTTTCCACTAAGATGTGTTCCTCAGTACTTAATATACATTTCTAATGATCATTGGGCTTTGTCAAGGTCACAAGCCTTATTTTGTCTTGCTAGGTATTTTCCAAGTGAATTAAGAAACTGACACTGATCCCAAGTTGTGGATCAGGGTAAGTTGTAAGCGAACTGGATAGGCTATTTTGGCTTAGGCAAGCAATAGAGTTTTAAATTTGCAAATATGTAAGCACACAAATTAGCAATTGCCTAGGGCTGACACAGTGTCTAGACTGCCTGGGCACAAGAACCAATCCTGAATGTACTTGTTCTCTTCTCCCCAGACTAGTTTTGCTATCTGCTAGGTTCAATCTTCTGCTGTAAGGTCCTAAACCTTCTTTTCCTGGCAAAGTTCCCGAAGAGCCTCATGGCAAGCAGAAATCCTACAGGTGCAGCAGCACTGTTCAACAGGGTGGCAGGGATGGGTAAAGCTGAACCTGTTGAATTGCTGCTTGTTAAGCCCAGGACTCCGGTTCAAAACTTAATGGTAGTTACTGTATTCTGAACTGGATTGAGGATGTGTGTTGCGACTCCAGAGGTTTAAAGCTGCCTTTTCCTTAGTCAGGGCTCCCCTACTCTTCTTTTAACAGCTACCTGAGAGGAGGATATATTAGCCAACGAAGCTTTTCCTTGCGCAGAACTGAAGAGACACCTGCTGAATTTCCTACTGTCTGAGGCGGTTGAAAGGCAAAGGGCGACTGTGAGGTAAAAAAAAATAAAAATAAAAGTGGCAACTTGACGGGGCCCATTTCCCCTCACGTACAGCCGAGGTGCTCGGTGACGGTGAGGCGGCTGCTATAAAACAACCTCCTTTAATAAAAACAGGCGGAGGAAGCGCTCTCTCAGCGACGTAGCCACCCTAAACCGCCGCCGCCGCCGCTTCCTCGGCAGCTGCTTCCCTTTCCCGCCCTGTGGCGCTGAGGCCACTTGCCCTCATACTGGCGGCAGCGGCTTCCCGCCGACGTCGAGCTCCACCCCATCCCGCGGGGCTGAGCCCGGCGCGGCGCGCTCCCGGATTGGGGCGAGGACGCGCCTCCCAACCGCCGAGCCAGGCGCGCCCCCGAGGTTTAGCCTCAGCCCGTGACTGAGGCGGGAGCTGCCAGTTGAGTCCCGAGCGCCGGCTCCGCTCTTCCTGCTGCTGTGTGAGTTGGGGAGCGGGCGGGAAACAGAGAGAGCCTCGCAGGGAGGCGGTAGCGTTTGGAACTGAGGAGATCCCGGTCACTGGATCCCGCGGTCTGGGGGGGGGGGGGAGGCGTAAGAAGGGAGGGGGCCGAAAACCGGAGGAGATCCCCAAGGAATCTGTTTCCTGTGGCATAGGCGGCAGTGGGTTGCTTCTGCTGGGGGGAGGCGGAGCGGGGGAAGGAGGATTCGCGAGAGTGGATCCCTACGATGTTAGCTGACGCCCCTTGGAAGATCTTGAGGAAGAGCCGGGGGCGGTGAGAGGGGAAACCTTTGAAGGAGGAGTGGAAGGGGCTGATCCTTGGCACAGAAGGTTTTTTTGGGAAGCCTGCCAGTCAGTGGATGATGAGGAAGATGGATGTGGAAAGCGGGGAAAGTGACACCATGGAAGATAGGAGGACATTAAAACAGCGTGTGTCTTAGTGGAGGAGATTGTCTTGCGTGGATTCCAGTGGAGGAGAGAGTGGGCTCCCTATCGAAGCCTATGACTAACACCTGCTACACACACAAACAAACTAACTAACACATGCCAGCTTCTGTTTCTGAACGGGAAAAGTAATCTTGAAAGGTGGGGGTTGGGGAGATGCAAAACCGGCTAGAATACATTTGTAGTAGAAGTAACCAGCACTCCATGTGGATGTGGTGCTAGCTGGGTATGGTGGATTGCAATGGAAACAGAAATAGTTTGGATCCCAATAATAAGAGATCTTGGGAAGCACACCTTTTCTAACTGCTATGGACCAGTGGAGGCTTTGCATGCGTTCATCTGGTCCAGTAAATGTTAGTAATATGCCTTGTTCTAAGTGGCTCTCAAGGGAGTGGATCATACTGTAGGTTGAGGGTTTTCTTTAGCAAACAAAAAGCACCAGCCCAAACAATCCTTTAATTTCTGTTTAAAGTGGAATCTAGGGAAGAAATAAACAACATGCAAATGAGGCTCTCAGGTTTTCCCATTTTTTCTTCTCCCAATAACTGGTTTGAAACTCAATTCCTTGATGGTTAAAAGCATAGGAGAATAATGCAAAGTAACTGTAACAAGTACAATTTCAATACAGTTTAAGTGGTAACCTTCAGTGCCTCTGCATCCCAGGTACAGCTTTTGGTGCTAAATTTTTGCTTGTTGCATAGCTAAGGCACAAGAACCCCCCCCCAAACTGAAAGAGAGATGGCAAACCTAGCAAATCTTGGGGTGTGTGAGGAAATTAACATCCTTGCCTCACTGCCACCCTAGCATTTTCATTAATTAATTCATATTTTATTTGTTTGCATACTTGGACGTATGCATAGGATTGCAGCCACGTGTCCCAATCTTAAGCATGTTTACTTGGAAGTAAATCCCTCTGAATTTAATCAAGATTTGCTCTCCATCATTAATACAACTGATTTTTCTTCTCTCAGCATTTTTAAACTGAATATATTTTTCAGCTTCTTGCATCATATTCTGGACCTTTTATTTGGAAGGATGTGGGCTCAAAGTTTTTGTTTACAGTCTGAGTGTTTCACCTGGCTATAAGACAAGGATGGGAGCCTCCATTGATATTATTAATTAATTAATTAATTAATTAATTATAGCCCGCCCATCTGGCTGGGTTTCCCCAGCCACTCTGGGCGGCTTCCAACAAAGATTAAAAATACATTAAAACATCAGTCATTAAAAACTTTCCTAAACAGGGCTGCCTTCAGGTGTTTTCTAAATGTCATATAGTTGTTTATCTCTTTGACATCTGATGGGAGGGCATTCCACAGGGCGGGTGCCACTACTGAGCAGGCCCTCTGCCTGGTTCCCTGTAACCTCACTTCTCACAGTGAGGGAACCGCCAGAAGGCCCTCGGCGCTGGACCTCAGTGTCCGGGCAGAATGATGGGGGTGGAGACGCTCTTTCAGGTATACTGTACCAAGGCCGTTTAGAGCTTTAAAGGTCAACACCAACACTTTGAATTGTGCTCGGAAATGTACTCCCATCCTCACTGATTGGGCAGTTGAGGGGGATTGATACTTGGGAAGAGGCTGGAAATCTTTAGCTGATGTAACATAATTTAAATGCTGTTCCAGCTCCCCTCTTATCCAGTAGTTTAGGGCCTTGGGAAGGTGCATTGGCTTTCACAGATCACATCTGAATGGAAAATTCCTGTTTATGCTGGCTAGGAAAACCGGGTGGACAAGTGCTAATAACCTGGCTTATAACCAGTACTGCTGTTTTGATTACATTGTGGACTAGTCCCAAAGGTTCATTTGACTGTGGTTGTTTAGTCTTTATTTGCAGTTGTAGCAATCTGTTTCTGTCTTGGCAATTAGCACTATGGATGTCACAAATGGAGGATTATGGTTCATCTAGGTGGAGTTTGAGTTTTCCATGCAAGACTCTGGTAAAAATATTTGGGCTCTTGATCACGCTGCTCTATAGCACAAAGATGACACATAGACATAATTGCTTCTAAATAAATCCTGTTCCAAAGGTTTTGCTTAAACCATTCCTAGTTCTTTAAGGAATTGTTGTAAAAGTGCATGCTGGCTTTATGAGCGTGCACGAGCACTGTGATCTCATCAAGCTGGTACACATGAACCAGGAAGTAGAATACAGCTGAAATAAACAGGATCAGCTGGGAGAAACCAAACAGCTCTATGAGAAGAGGGATGAATGTAATTGTGTAGCAGATATATTTTCCAGTAGCTAACAATAGCAACTGAACTTAAATACTTGGTGATATTTTCTGCTTTTCATACAACACTGAATTCAGGAGCCTTGATTATATCAGTTCTCTAGAGTAAGTTCTCTCTCTCTTGTTTGTGTAGAATGTGTTGTATCTAGGGAATATATTATCAGTGTCTCAGGTTTTTCTAGGGAATATATTATCAGTGTATTAGGTTTTTCACCCTGAATTAGAAATAAAAGCATGAAGGGTTAAAATCCATTTATGTGGGTTTAAACTGAGATGAACTGGCTGCTGTTATCACCATTAAAAGGGAATGCAGAACCTATTCCTAGTTAAACAGTGACAATTGTACAGAACAGGATCAGATTGGAATTAAACTGCAACTCAAATTACTGGTATGGTGTCTTTAAACTAAACTTATTTACTTGCTTATTTAAAATGGTATCCTGCCATTCTTGTCAAAGACAACCCACAGTGGCTTACATCATAGAAATTAAAATGTAAGGGTCTGATGGAGCAATCCTGGTGAAGCTAAGCAGATCTAAGGTTGGGTGGTGCCTAGAAGTGGGGGCTGCTTGTGGGATCCCTATGTAAGTAAGCCTCCTGGAATTATTGAAAGAAAGTTGTGCTATGAATGCTAGAGAATTTAGTGTGTGCTCATTTTCTTTTTGCAGGAAATACACAGTGTAAAAAAAGCCACAACTTTTAAAAAACTGATGTAGAAGTTAAAACAAAAACCTCAGTGTTACTAAGTATTTTCACATTCACTTCTTGTCAGAATTCAAAGTTTCTGAATTACCGAAACCACTGGATAGAGACAAGAAAATGAGATTGTTTTACATACATATAAGTTCTGTGCATATTTGTGGAGAAGTGAAGCCCCTGAGTGTATATATCATGTAAGATTGCAGCCTTACTTTGACGGTGTCACTTGCAGGTATTGTAATTGCACTATGAAATGGGTAGACCCAGGGGGAAAAATCACAGCTTATGTTTATAGTTGTGCTACCTTTTTATTGTTACATTTTAATGTTCAGATCTTGATCTTTCCAGAGGCATCTGGCTTGATCTGGAACCTTGTCTATAACTTGGCTGCAGGCGTGAAACTTGACTTTATTTCACCTGTGTCAAATACCCAGTTTGGCACCCCCGAAGCGCATTTGCGTACAGTACACACACATACAGAGGCTGGGAGCCTCAGTGGCGCTCCTCTGGAGGCTTCAATTGGGGCAAAAAAAAAAAATGGCTAGCATCCCCCCGTAGCTATGGCTGTGCTTGACTGTATAACTAAATGTTGTTTCTGTCTGTCCACATTGTGCTATTTAGTTTCAACAGGATAAGTGTTGGGAGGTGTATTCAGATATTCACTCTTATAAAAGCAGTTCACTGAAGATAGAGGCCTGAACACAGATGGGCATTTGGAGTTGCACCCTGGTTCATGCTAATGCTCCAAAGCCTGCCTGCCTTGGTACGGATCTTATTCCTTGGACTTGAGTACGTGGCTCCATGTACAGTTTCACGGGGGGGGGGGGAGTTTAAATGAAAATCATGAAATCTTATGGCGCTCGCAATGGAAATATTCATGGATTTAATATAACTTTTCTTCAAGTTGGAATTACTTTGGGTTTTGGAGCTTTGTTGGGAAAGAGGTTTAACAATGACAAGACACTTGCGGGAGATAATTGGTAGGCAGTGAAACAGTTAAATGCCTATCCACCAATTTGCCTCCTGAAAATTGTTTTCCACTTCTCCATGTTAGCATTGCAAAGGATTCACAGGTTTAGGAACCACTCTGGACACAGTGCCCCTTGTGCATATTGGGGAAGCAGTGCAGGTTTTCTGGCCATGGTGCTCTCCTACTGAACTTCAATTTAGGGAAAATAGGTCACTTCAATAAGACTTTATTTTCTTCTTTTTCAGAGGCACAAATCCTGGATCAAAGATCCCTGGGAGAGACAATGAGCTATTGCTAGGCTGCCTATACTGCTGATTTTCAGGTTTGTACAAAGTGCATCTCGCTTGAGGAAATTTTGGGCTTTGATTCCAATTATATGGTTCCTGAAAAGAGATTGACAAGTGTCAGCTTTATTTCTGTGTCTTAAACAAGAAATAGATAATGTTTTCATCACAAATGTCCTGCTTTGTGGTTCAATAAGATACAGAAATGGATTTTGAGCTTAAGAATCAGCTGGTCAAATTCACTTATTGTTAAATGCACTTAAATAGGAGTAGGCAGTTATGCTGAGCAATGGTAACCATTCTGGAAATCTGGTGAACTACAAGGATGCAATTAATACTAATAATGTTGGTGCATGGAACATTTTGAATAAATGTTAAGGCTATCAAGTATGGGAACTTTTAAGTGAGAAGAGGAAAGGACAAAGGCGATTTAAAGAGAAAAAGAGTAGTATACTGAGATGCATCATAGCAAGGGTCCATTACCCACTGGTTTAAAAGACAATGACAGGATCACCAAACAGATGCCTGCTGTGTTCCAGTAACAATTACTGTAGATAGTCTAAAGCAAATATGGAATACACTCCGGGTCTGCATCAGTTCAAAGTCTTCAACATTTTACATAATCATAGTTTTTGTATCACAGGCTTTGTGGTATAAGTAACTATACTGTCTAATAGTCTTTCCACAAAAATGATGGAGACTGGAAATGATCTTTTTTAGAAATGCAAATGCTAAGTTCATGAGGAAGCAAATAAGTTCATTGCAGGAGCTGTAAGAAAGTATCTCAAGCTGCTTGAATTTGAGTCCAAGGGAAGAGATTCGGGCAGCACATATTTTTCCAGTAAGATATTATAAATGCTAGTATAAAATTAACTGTGACATTTTTCAAGGGCAAATCAGATTTCTTTTCCACAGCTGTCCTTGCTCTCTGCTGATCTCACTAGGGTGGATAGTAGCCTAATCACATTGCAGTTTACACTAAGATGTGGTTTTTATTAATTGCCAAACAGAATGAACAGTTCCTTAGGTATAATTAAGTTGTTTCTAAGTAGGCTCAATTTTAAAGGACCACATCTAAATTCAGAAATCAAAGTGGTTTCATAAAGTCCGTTTTGAAAAAACAACAACTTGGGTCAATCCATGTTAACTCCCACTCCTTGCAAGGCACACAACACCCCCACTTGATAATCACTACTTCTGACCTTTTTTCTGGGAATCCTCAGATTGATTTTATGCTGCCTTTTTTCAGTAACTGCATTTTACTGCAGCTGTTCATGCCATATGAACCAGCAGTGCAATACAATTTCTATTCTGGTGAGAGTGGCTTCAGTGTTGCTGAACCACTTTTGGCACCCTTTCCTCCACCTTCCTCCCGCACTCCATCTTTGACCTTACAGAGGATATGTAGGAAGAAAGTTTTGTCTTCCATTTTATTCCCATTGACTAAGGATCATATTAATGATGGTCACATTATTTATTATATTTTTGGATACTCTTACTTGGTGAGCACCTGCAGAGCACCAAATGAAATGCTGCTATCTGTGCTAATTTCTTGTATGGATAAAGGGGAAATTAGGCATAAAAGTACAGGGAGACGAGCAAAAAGAGGGTTGACTGAAAGTGAAACACAGTGGAAGGTGGAGGTTTAGAGATGCAAGGGAATATGTGGAATATTGTGAAGGAGGTGCCGAAAGCCCCTGATAGCTGTCTTCCTCTGCCTTTACCATCACCCCATGCACACACAATTCTCTTAACTCATGGCCATTCCAGTTCCATTATGGGATTTACATTCTATGAGGAGTTCCCAGTGTGCAGTTTGCCTGGGGTTGGTGGGTCCCCTTTAGGGACTGCTGAGGCTGAAGCCAATTGCAGACTGACCAAGAATGAACAGTGGTGTTGGATAAGGTCAAGGCAGTTCTGACATAAAAGCTGGGATTCAGTGAAAGGGACCAAAAATGTATTTTTGAAATACTCTGTGGGTCAGAGAAACATTGTGTATGTATCTGACACCCACTGTCTGTGCATGGCCATCTGGATTGGTGCACCTATGCCAGGCATCCTCAACTTTGGCCCTCCAGATGTTTTGAGACTACAGTTCCCAGCATCCCTGACCACTGGTCCTGCTAGCTAGGGATCATGGGAGTTGTAGGCCAAAAACATCTGGAGGGCTGAGGTTGAGGAAGCCTGACTTATGGCATCTGGATTGGTGCACATATGCATTTCAAACATCACTTAGATCCTCCTTATTGAGCTTCCCAGCTGCATGGAATACAGGCGTTCATTGTAGACAAGTGACTTACAACATGTTATTCTATGCAGTGTGTCCCTTGAGCAACAGTGGCAGATAATTTCAGTACAGCAGTGACCTGTAAACATGAACAATTCCATTACAACACTGCCTTGCAAATGCAAAGGTCTGCAGTGTGGATCTGAGTCATATTTTCTTTGGGAAAACTTTCCCTAAACTTATCTGTTACTCTAGGAAGTATCCATCTGCATTATGATTACCTAATTTTTGTCCTCCTCTCTTGTCCTTAGTTGATTCCTGCAGTTTGAGGCACCTGGAGTCATGGCAGACTGGCTGCTCATTGGATTGTTTGCTGCACTGGTTGCGCTTCTGCTGTTGACACTCTTTGGCTTTGCTGTTTATTCGGGGCTCTTCACAGAAGTGATTGTGAGTGCTGGTTTGCCCCCCTTCAGCAGCATCACTGTGGCATATAAATTCCAGGTGGGGCCTTATGGTGACTCTGGAAGGCTGTTTACGGAGAGCTGCAGCATCTCTCCAAGGCTGTGCTCCATTGCTCTCTACTATGACAACCCTCACACGGTAAGTCTCAGGGAGAGCTGCTTCTTGTTTGCATCACTGTTAACACAATCATTACTTGAGGACCAGGAAAATCTATTTTCTGATATGTTAGATCTGAAGTAGATCTTCGACTTTGGGAATGTGCACTATGAGGAATAGGAATTTACTTAAGAATAATAATGTGCACACTCATGAAATGGATGAGTTGGGTAGCCTTAAGGTAAACTTGCAGTGATTTAGCTTTATGATCATACTGTATATGCTGTAACCTACATACCAGGCATGATCCTGCAAACAGATGTGATGCTTTGTATTTTTATTCATTACTGTGTATAGTGAATCATTTATATTTTTGTACTTGGGGGTTATGCTTTTGAACCAATGTTTTGTAGTTGAAGATTGTGTTTATCTGAATATATTTATGCTTCTTTATTTTTTGGTGGGTAGGAAATATTGCACCTGTTGAATTTCTGCCTGTTGTGTTAAAAGTACAAAGCCTCTTGCAAGAAGGTGTAAAGTGAAAATACTTGGAAAAGGGTGCAGAATCTTTTGAAAGCAGCTAAGGAGAGATGGTCTGCTCAAGTATCAGAGAGGCAAGCTACCATATACATATCTATATATTCCACTGTGTTTAAATGCTAATATTACCATAGACAGTAGATATTTGGTTTATTGGCTCATTATCTTGGAGTGGGTATTCCCATGGGTGGCTGAATACTACTGTATTTCTTTCATTTCCCTAGTTCTCTAGGTGCTGAGAAGTGGTGCTGTCATAAAAGAATATATTACAGGCAGTTTTAGTAAAATACAGAGCTTGCATGTCACCATCCAGACCTTTATATAAGAGGGGTTTTTTTCTTGTAGGGGGTCTGTGTTCAGCTTCTCTTTTCAGACTTTCGATGTTGGCCACAATCCAGAAAATTGCACAGCTATTGTGTCAACAAGGGCCTTGAATTTTCTTTAGAGGACTTTTGCAACTTGACTGAGTTTCAACAGCCATTTGCAATGCAGTGTATGTGGCTGCTATGGCGGGGGGGGGGGAATCAAATACCCCATTGGGGATACACAGACCTTTGCATACACCCCTAAAGAGCACTCTTTATTTTGCATATTGTCTTTACAGAGGAAAAAATGTATCTAAACCTGGATTCATCTGTTCAAACAATCTGTTGTAGTTGGGCTTTTGACAGCCTGATTAAAAAACAAACAAAAAACTTCCAAACCAACCACAACGTTGCCAGAAAAATAGGGTTGTGCACTTGTTTGTGGCATAAGCACTTCCTGTTACACTAGCACAGCCTGTGTAATTTTCTGATCAACAGCTTTGAAGAAGAACGTATGCCAGAGAAGCTATCAGTTGAGTTTTTCTGCTAGTGCATTGATCTAAGGACACAGGGCTGAGCAAATAGAGGAGTTGTCAGTGTAGCACATTTTCCAGGTAATAGTAATTATTAGCTGAACCAGTTTTGGTTATTCCATTGTGAGCAAGAGGTCATTCCATCTGAAGTAATTTCAGATGCTGAAATGTCTGCTTCTGGCTTTTCCTACCCCTTTTCTGGTACTTGCAGATTAAAAATAATGTTTAAGCTGCCCTTCATCACAGAGCAATGCAAAAGAGGGTACCTTATAGTAGTTAAAACCAAGGAGAAGGAAGAGGAATGATGATGATGTTGAAAGGGAGTAGATAATGCCAGAGTGAAGTCGGGAATAATAACATTTGAAAATCTAGCCAAGTCAATTAACCTCTCATATTTCTTTAATTTTTAAAATGGCATTTGCAGTCCTCCTTTCTTCCAAAGGGCAGCATACATGGCTGTGAACTTGAATTGAGATCTCCCAGACCCTTGCCTGAGATTTAATCTGTTACATTTACGCTGCTTCTGTTGGAATAAGTGAGATTTCTATTGTGCTAGAAATGCATCAAAGTTGGTGCCAATTATAGTTCAAGGATGAGGGCATTCTATAATTATGGCCCCCAAAAGTAAGACTTATAGTAGTTAAAACCAAGGAGAAGGAAGAGGAATGATGTCTCAAATTGTTTGTGGTGTGGTGTTCTTTCTTTCTTTCTTTCTTTCTTTCTTTCTTTCTTTCTTTCTTTCTTTCTTTCTTTCTAATTCTAACACCCAGAAGGGGAACATGGCAGCTCTTTTACATGTTTAGAGATTCTGCATGGGGAATGAAGATGCTGTCTCCAGTGTCTAAACTGGAATACCGGCAGAACTGGATGAGACACGGTTGAGCTTAGGGTTTACACTATTTAATTAATGAATTAAAGCTGTAATCCTGTACTTACTTGCCTGAAAGACTCACCTAACACCATAAGACTTAGGTTTTTGTAGACCTATATAGGGTCACTTTGTAAATGTATTCATGTGTTCGTCCTCTCACTTTTCATAAGTAAGTAAGTAAGTAAGTAAGTAAGTAAGTATAAATATCATCGCCCTTATAAAACTACCACTAACTATTTCAGTAGTTACCTGTTTAAAATCTCTCTAGCACATCTTCAAAAACTTATTGGAGGCCTTTGAAGGATCCCTAGAAATGTAAGGTTTCTTCATCAGTCTTAAGTGTAGCACATCTCCCTTCTTTTAAACAAAAACATACAAATAAGTGTTCTCAGTATTTTGTTGCAGCTCCTGCCGCCTTTATCAGAGACCATCTCTCTGTGATATTTTCAAGTGTGATCTCAGCTGTGGATATTTTTGATTCTTTGCACAAGAGTAGAAGATGAAACGCATTTGGTAAAAGGAATCTGTATATAGAAGAGAGTCAGGGAGGCAGCAAAGTCATGTGAATAACCTTCCTTACTAACCATGTTGTTTGTATTGTAAATACAAAGGGCTTACAGAGAGAGAGAGATTAGTTCTGCCTGCTGTGAAAAGTGTGTATCTCTGGCATCTCTTTATCTTACTGGAATAATATACCGTATTTTTCGCTCTATAACACGCACCTGACCATAACACGCACATCGTTTTTAGAGGAGGAAAACAAGGGAAAAAACATTCTGAATGAAACAGTGGATGTATCATTTTTGTGCTTCATGCTGTGGCCACAGACATGTGATCTGATGGTGAATTTGGGGTGACCCAATGCAAAAATCCTGATAATTCCTGTGGATCCATGCTTTGTAACCACGGTTTTGCACCATTGCACCCCCAGGCAACAGTGGGTGCGTGATTTTTTGGGTGCAGGCTGTAGCCATGGACATGCTATGTGATCTGATGGTGAATTTGGGGTGACCCAATGCAAAGATCCTGAGAATCCCTGTGGATCCATGCTTTGTAACCACATTTTTGCACCATTGCAGCCCCAGGCAACAGTGGGTGCGTGCTTTTTTTGGTGCAGGCTGTAGCCATGGACATGCTATGTGATCTGATGGTGAATTTGGGGTGACCCAATGCAAAGATCCTGAGGATCCATGTGGATCCATGCTTTTTAACCACATTTTTGCACCATTGCAGCCCCAGGCAACAGTGGGATCTATGCTTTGTAACCACATTTTAAGTGGGGAGCGAAGGAAAAACAAAGAAGGGACATGAGAGGACAGAGAAGCAGCTGGCTAAGAATGCTGGAGAGGGATTTAACCGGTGGGAGAAAAAGAAAGGCAAAAGTTCCCCCCCAAGCCAGCCATCTCTCTCTCTCTCTCTCTCTCTCTCTCTCTCTCTCTCCCTCTCTCTCCCTCCCCCCTCTTTCTCCCTCTCCCTCCCCCTCTCCCTCTCCCTCCCCCACTCTCTCTCCCTCTCCCCCAGCAGCACCGGAGCACAGAGAGGAATTAGAAAGAACGACACTGCTTGCCTGGAGGGGAGGGGCTTTCCCTGCTCTTTGTTCCGTTTCAGCAATCACAGCAACGAAACAGAGGAGGGTGGGCAGTAAGACCCTGAGGCAGAATGCAGGAAAGCTGCCACTTCCTCTTTTCAGGTTTCCCTTCTCCGTGACTCGCGATTTGACTTTTGCTTGATTTTTTGGCTCCAGGGACCACACATTCGCTCTATAACACGCACAGACATTTCCCCTTCCTTTTTAGGAGAAAAAATCTGCGTGTTATAGAGGGAAAATACGGTAGTTATTCAGTGTAAGTCAAGGAATCAGGAAGCAAAAGACCATTGTGCTTAATCTTCAACCATTGTTTGATTGAAACTTGCACGGAAAGAGTTTCTAAACGCTTTTAAGACAGTAGCTGATTGGGACAGCACTAGTTTCTCTTGCATGTGGTCTTTGCTCTTCTTTTCCAGACCCTGCACACTCTTCCCCCCTCCCTCCACCACTAGAGGTTATTTTGCAAATGCAGCAAGTTTGACTGGTCCACTGTTGCTAAAATGATATAAATTGAATTTCTGCCTCTGCTAACTGGGCACTACCATCAGTGCATTTTTGAAGCTGAGGTATTATCCTGAAAGCATTTATAGAGGCAGAGGAAATTTTTTTGGATTTGGGCCTTGTGATAAGGGATTATTATTTGTAATTTGTAATCTGCTCATTCTAGTTATTCGGTAAGTTTTGTGGTAGCTGTGGTCAAAAAATGAAGTTACCTGCCTTCAATATCTCAGCTGTGTTGCTGTCATCTGCCAGTGTTCATCTGTTGTTACACCAATGCAGAAGAGTCTGCATATGTAGCTTAACGTGTCTGCAAGCCAATTTTGTTTCAAGCTCCTTTAAGCAGATAGGTATTATTATTTATTTATTATCCAACGATAGTGGGGTGGTTCACAACATAAAAATACAATAAGGTAAAGGTAAAGGGACCCCTGACCATTAAGCCCAGTCATGGACAACTATGAGGTTGCGGCGCTCATGTTGCTCTATAGGCTGAGGGAGCCAGCGTTTGTCTGCAGACAGCTTCTGGGTCATATGGCCAGCATGACTAAGCTGCTTCTGGCAAACCAGAGCAGCGCAAGGAAACGCCATTTACCTTCCTGCCGAAGCGGTACCTATTTATCTACTTGCACTTTGACGTGCTTTCGAGCTGCTAGGTGGGCAGGAGCTGGGACCGAGCAACGGGAGCTCACCCCATCCTGCGGATT